GTTCCAGACCGGAGACGCGTCGGCACTCGATGGACACGTTCAGACTGTGGGAGAACCCAGAGGGGACATGGTGGGGACAGCAGGGACAGGCCTGGGGACACCAGGGACACGGCAGGGAATACTGGGAATACTGGGAACCATCCCAGGGACGCTGGGAACAGCCTTGGGGACGTGCCAGGGACACCAGGAGGGACCTCGGGGTCACTGGGGAGAGCCTTGGGGACATCGAGGGCACGCTGGGGACGTCGGGAACACGTCAGGGACACTGGGAACCATCTCAGGCACACGGCAAAGGGCCTTGGGGACACTCCAGGGACACTGGGAACACACCAGAGGCACCAGCAACGGCCTCGGGGACACGGGAAGTGTGCCAGTGGCACCAGGAATGGCCTCAGGGACACGGGAAACAGCCCTGGGGACACTGGGAATGTGCTGAGGACACCGGGAATGGCCCCAGGGACATCAGGAATATGCTGAGGACACTGGCAGTGGCCCCAGGGACACCAAGAATGGCCCCAGGGACACTGGGAACACGCTGAGGACACCGGGAATGGCCCCGGGGACATCAGGAATATGCTGAGGACACTGGCAGTGGCCCCAGGGACACCTGGAACGGCCTCAGGGACGCCGGGAATGTACTGAGGACACTGGGAATGGCCTCAGGGACGCTGGGAATGTGCTGAGGACACCAGGAATGGCCCCAAGGACATCAGGAATATGCTGAGGACACTGGCAGTGGCCCCAGGGACACCTGGAATGGCCTCAGGGATGTTGGGAACAGGCTGAGGACACCGGGAATGGCCTCAGGGACACCTGGAACGGCCCCAGGGACACCTGGAACACGCCGAGGACACCAGGACCAGCCCCAGGGACACCTGGAACGGCCCCAGGGACACCAGGAACAGCCCCAGGGACACCTGGAATAGCCTCAGGGACACCTGGAACGGCCCCAAGGACACCTGGAATGGCCCCAGGGACACCTGGAACGGCCTCAGGGATGTTGGGAACAGGCTGAGGACACCGGGAATGGCCTCAGGGACATCAGGAATATGCTGAGGACACCTGGAACGGCCCCAGGGACACCTGGAACACGCCGAGGACACCAGGACCAGCCCCAGGGACACCAGGAACGGCCCCAAGGACACCAGGAACGGCCCCAGGGACACCGGGAACACGCCGAGGACACCGGGAGCGGCCCCGGGGGACCCCGGGAAGGGCGGCACTCACCCGTTCCGGTCGTACTTCTTGAACACCGGGAAGGCTTCCAGGGGGTCTTGGAGCTGGAAGAGACCAAAGAGCAGCCGAGAGCCAGCGGGGGCGTCGCGGTTGTCGGCGGTGCCGGGGGGTTTGGCCGCGCTTTGCCGCACTCACTTTGTTGGCGGCCTCGACCTTGGCGCAGACGGCGGCCATGGCCGCGCGCTCCTCCAGCCGCCGCTGCTTCTTCTCCTTGGCCCTGCTCGACTTCCTCTGGGCGAACACACCCCAAAAAAAACCAGGAGAATCACCCCAAAAGCCCCGAGAGCGCGGCCCCGCCGGCGGCGACAAACCAGAACCACCGAACCTCGCGGGGCTGAAAAGCCCCAGGTTGGGAAGGGGGGTTGTCCCTAAAGCCTGGCAGAAAAGGGGTTTTTTTGGGGTAAAAGCCAGCGTTTCAATGAGCACAGAAACTGTCCTGATCACCAGGGGAGCGTTGCCTGAAGAGTTTTGCCCCAAAGTCAATAATCATTAATTCTATAAATACTTTCCCACTACAATACATATTATATATAATATGTTCAGTATAACACACATAATATATATAATAACACCCAACACACTTAATATATTATGTTTACATGCCGTATCTTTTATAAATGCCAATAAGTTAACTTGGGGGTTAAAAGCAGCGTTTTTGATGAGCACAGAAACCGTTCTTATCGCTGGGGGAGTGTTGTTGCTCAGGGGGTTAAACTTGAGGGGGGTTGTCCCAAAATCTGTGGGGTTTTAGTAAAAGCTGATGGTTGTTAGATGGCACGAGCAGGTGACACCGAGCAGCAGTTGCACAAAATTATCGCTTTTAAATGGTTTTCTCCTGAATTTGAGGAGTTTGACAGCAGAAATTACCAGCGCCAGGTCTGCTCAGGGCAGCCCCAAATTTGCACAGGATGTCCCAAATTTCCTCATAGGAGCCTCCAGACCCCTCAGAGAGTCCCAAGCATCGTCCTGAGAGCCCCAAATGTCCCAAAACCTCATGAAAGGTCCCAAATCTCCACATGGGAGCCCCAATCCCCTCAGAGAAGCCTCTTATTCCCTCATAGGAGGCCCCTCAGAGCCCCAGATCCCCAAGAAAGGTCCCAAATCCACTCGTATCACCTCGAAGAGCCTCCCCATCCGCTCAGACGGCCCCAAGTCCCTG